GTCAGACTCTTGCTTGGGTCCGTCGCTGGTGGACTTTGAGCTCTTGTCGCCCTTGCTGCTCTTTCCAGGGTAGGAGGTGTCATCCGGCTCTTCCTCTTCGTACGCGTCCTCGCCTTCCTCGTCCCCTTCGTCGTATCGACGCCTGACCAATCGAGTGAGACCCAGCTGATGTACCAGGTGGTCCAGCACACCGCCAGATGGTCCATTGATGTGGAAGCACGCCTCTGGCTGAGTGTCAGAAATCCTTGCGGCGGCTAGTGATGTTGGATGCTTTGAGGCGTCGCCGTCTTGCGTCGATCTGCCCGACGGATATTGCTCCTGGTCTAGGAGCGACGCCTGCGCTGCAAATGCCACGCTCCTGTCTCGCATCGAAACCTGCGATGGATGAGCTTGCACATCATCCGCTGTTGCCCTGCGAATGCGACTGTGGGCGATGGATCGTGCTGCGGTGTCAAAGACGAAGCATACCATGCAGAGGAGCAGAATGAGCGCCAGACGTGGCGCATCACACCAACCGCTCCTAGGCTTCATCTCCAGTGTGGAAGCACGAAATAGAAAATGGAGGTGCTACCGCTCTGCGGACACCCAGCGAGGAAATGTGAGAAGTGAGTGTCAGTGGACGTGGACGTGGACTGACTGAGATGTGGCGACGGGCCGGCCGGCCACACTGCGAAGATGAAAGGTGAGCAAGGGAGAGAGAAGGAAAAGGGGGTTCAAATGAAGATGAAGAGCACGCCAGACCTGCTCATAAGAAAAAGCTGAAGAAGAAGGTGGGAGAAAGTCAGGGAGGGGGCGAGCAAGTGAGCGCGAGGAGATGTTGGGATGAAACGCAGACTTCGTAACTCGGAGCTGCGAGGGGAAAGGGTGCAAGCCCGCCGATCGGTTCGGGCTTGTCCAAGCGCACCTAAGTCAAGCATGACCTCGCCGCTTAACTTCTCAACGGCGGATAGAAGTTGAGTGCAAAGTAGCGCTCATTCAGAGCAGAAGAGGCACAACGCATCGCAGCCGTTGGGGTCCGTTGGAGGCCGTTGCCAGCGTTCGGTACGCGTACTCGAAGGGGAAGCGCCGTCTGGCATGAGAGAGTCACGAGTGCAGCTCAAATCTTTGCTCTCTCACCTCGAACGAGAATTCAGAGTGTACGCATGGCAACTCTGCTTGTACAAAGATGATGGTACGAGACGCTGTCTTGAACTTTTGACTGATGAGTCGTGATCGTTTGTTTGCCCCTTCAGCGAGAGAGGAGTAACTTGCTGCAAGTCAATAATAGTTCAGCGGCGAGGCCAGATTTGCTCGAGAA